ATCTGAATAAATGATGAAATTGAGGCAAACCAAGGTCAGGTCACACTTGTACCAAGTGGTTGGAAGACATTTGACTTCAGGTCTGCCTGACTAGTGTCCAAGGTCTTCCTGTTATACATATCTGGAGCAGAGATGGGTGGGTAGGAGTTGGGGGAGGCTTGGTATTCTCATCATTTATGTGATAAAAGGATTAACTACAAGCTTCCTTTAAATAGAAAACCCCCACAGGGCATTTAACAACTAACTCAATCACAAAAGAGGGAATTACAAATGTGTGTGAAGATGTCTGCGGGTGTCAAGGGGAAGTGGCTAAAATTGTACACAGGGGATGCTCTGAGTCACCCAGAAGTTGACCATCCTCCCGAGCCCAGTTCTCGGGATCTGCCACCAAGAGAAGAGCCTCTTCAAGAAGAGGGGAGTGGGGTGTTCCTGGGTGACAGAGAGGTGGAGCGGGAGGGTTGTCAGGGTATCCAAGGTCATAGACCTTCCTGTCATTTCAACCCAGAGTGCATTAACAATGGAAGATAACATTTTAGAATGGGGAAAGGGGAAGGTGATTTTCCTTTCTACTTAGTGTGTAACTCAAAGGGTACCAAGGGAGAAACAAACTCTGGAACTATCAAAGAGCAGTATATGAAAGGAAATCTTAGTAAACTTTATTCTAGAGAGAAATGAGTAGAGCACAATGGTGGTTTCCATATGTGAAGACAAGGGCCACGACTTCATATTTGTCATGAAAGTGGGTGGAGAAATGAGGTCTGCCACTGACAGAGAGCATGTTCAGAAATAGGAGAAACCAGACAAGCTTCAAGTGACGGTGGGATAAGGCAAGAAACATTGGGATCTGGAAGAGCCCCAAACACATAGATTAATCATGCAGCCCCATTCTGGAATTTTGCTGAGTTGCCAGCACAGGAAATACAGCTATAAAATAGAAAAGTTTGGGCAGTCCTGTGGTTCTTGAACTTTTAAGACCCTGCTGGAGTTTCATTCAAAAGTGATCAAATCTATTTGAAAGCCCAGCTTTCTCTCAGATCAGATCCTTAAAGAGAAAGATCAGTCCCTTAGAAAGTCATGGATTCAGAGGAAAGGGGAAAAGATATATCCTTGGTCTTCTTTGAAAACAGAAGGGAAAGTAATCTAATTATAACTGTGTCCCAACCCCAGCTTAATACAGGTCTTCATAAAATCTGAATTTCACCTGAAAGAGAAAATGATTTGTGCTCTCTGAAAAATTAAATAAATACAAAACCAGAATTTGGATTTCAATATCCACTGTTTTTATAGGCAATATCTGGTGCACATAAAAACATTATAAGACATGAAAAAGCAAACGTGATTCATAATCAAGAGAAAAACAACCAGTAGAAATAAATTCACAGAAGACCAATCATTAGAATTGGTAATCAAGGACTTTAAAATAACTATTACAAACATGTTAGGAACTTCACCAGAAAGAAATGAATAGAATGCAGAAAGAGATGTAGAACATCAAGAAAAAAAAAAACAATTCTAAAAAAATTTGAAGGCACAAAATGAAAATTATAAATCTGAAATTTTATTTATTTGAAATTGAAAAGTTAATTTTATAGGCTTATTAGCAGATTGAGCACAACAGAATAAAAAAGAATAGCAAATTTAAAATCAAGTCAGTAGAAATTACCCAAACCAAAACACATAGAGAAAAGGGCTGAACAGAACAACAGTTATATGTAGGATAATATAAAATGACCTAACATACATGTAAGTGTAGTCCCAGAAGGAGAGGAGAGAGAGAAAATATTTTTGAATATGAAAAGATATATGGCTAATTTTTTTCAATTTTGATTTTTAAAAATATACCCAGATAGCCATTAAGCTCAACCAATCTCAAACAGGATGAATATAATAAAAACTACATCTAAGAGCATCATATCTTGTCATCACCTCTGGTGTACACACACACACACACACACACACACACACACACACACACACACACCCCTTTTACCCTATCCAGGCTGAAATATTTGAAATTACATAACTGTTCCAGTTTCCTCAGGTCACCAAGCCTTTAAATACGTTGTCCCATACATTTACCATGTCCTATCAAGATCTTGTCAATCCGACACACTCCTAAACTTCCCGTGAAACTCAGCCAAAGACTCCCACTATAATGGACATATGTTCTTTGGGCTGACTAAATCTTTCACCACCTTTCTGGGTGTGAAGAGAGTTACTCATCTTCTCAAAACCTGAAGTCAGATTTTTTCCCAGGCTTCCTTGCAACTAAGACACAGGAACATGACCCAGGCTTCACCAGTCAGACATATTCCCACTTGGCGTTGAACAAGAAGCTTGTGGATTGTAGACTCAGGCACTGTGTGGAATCTCGTGGAGGCAACTGCATCCGGCTGTCAAAGACGTCAGCCACGGGGAGTCTAACGGTAGATGCCCCTCGCCCATGTCAAGTTAGATGTCCATGACAGTGTCACAGAACTAGCTCTGCCATGTAATGGTGTTGTCTTGGAACACATAGTCTCTAGGCCCTTCTAAAGATTCTCCAGGCTTTCTAAGGTGTCCTGTTGAGTCTCTTTTCCGCTTATCCGGGATTGGTTTATGTTGTTTTCAATTAAGGGCTTTCACTGATGCACTCCGCCTGCCCTGAAATCTTCCCATGTCTCCCTTCTGCCATCTCCCTGCAGCCATCCCTTCTACATACTATCGAGGTACTTTATTCCTTGTTCTGGGATCCCACAGCGCCCTGCCCTGCCTTCTCTCCAGAGACATTATGGTTTCCTCCAGTTGTTTATTTATGTGTGTCTCCTCAGGTAGATGGCTAACTCCTGAGGTCAAGGTTCATTTCCATTCCTTCACTGAGTGCTTAGCAGAGTTCCAGGCAGGCATAGAAGGGATGCTCCAGAGATGCTGGATTACACGTGCAGTGAAGGCATAGAAGGGATGCTCCAGAGATGCTGGATTACACGTGCAGTGAAGGCAATGTCTCCTCGCACCCAGAGTCCGTGAAATGCAGAACCACTGTTTCTCAATATTCACATTAAGAACAAGTCCAACCGGACCAATCTCTTTTTTTCCAACACGATCTTGAGATGATACAACAAACAAACGTGTGGACAGTTACAACGCAAGGTGCATGACAAGCTCCCTGGGAATGTCGAGTGTGGGTTTATGCAAGAAGAGTGCATCAGTTAGCAGCTGGGTGAATGTCGAGATCTTTCCCGGGGCTCAGTGGACAGTTCTGTCTTGTCCACCCCTTTTGGATGGTTCCAGAAGCCAGCCCAAAACCGTTTATGCAAGACAAAAACTCAGGGGACTATTTTAAGAACTGTACAGTTGTATACTGATAAAACATTTAACAATTAGTTTTTCAGGAGGAAAAAGGCCCATATTTGTCATATCTGCCAATTTCCATTCTGTAAATATTCCTGTAATCATTTAAGGTACCAGTGTCACTGCACCAACATGTGAAGTTGGGAGGAGAAACACCGTGGCACACCACTAGGTAGGGTTTCCCCCAGATAGATCCCCCAGGTACACATACCATAGAGACAAATAAATAATTTTCAGAATGTAGACACTCGTAAAAATCTCTAAAACAACTAGAAATGGATGAGTTTTGGGTATTTATTACCTTCCTCTTGGTAAGTATGATTAATTTTAAATTTAAATGATCTAATTTACTTAAATGGCTATCTTTAATAACTGGCTCTCAGAATTCCTGAAAATTTAATGATAGGTGTTGAGCTGTGGAAGCTGACTTAGCACCACTAACAGTTCGAGAGACTTCGTCCTCTTTACAGCTTGGCTTTGGTTTATTAGGAAAGATACTAAAGGAGGAAACTACAGCCTCTTGAGTAGATGAGAGACTTATCTGGAATGCTGCAGCTAATTCCTGACAAATAATAGCTAAAATTTTGGAATGCTTACCTTGGGGCAGGTACTGTAACAAGCATTTTACAAGATTCGTTTAATTCTCACTATGACCCAACGAAATAGGTCCTATAATTATTCTTTTTTAGATTGAAATAATAAATACATCCATACATACTTGAGAGAAGTGAAGTCATTTGCCCAAGGTTACACAATCAGTAGTACGAGAGCCAGGAAGCAAACCCAAGCAAACTAACTGCAAAGCAGACTCTCTGAATCAGGGTCTCTGTGCCTCAGGTTTTCTGACTCTGGGTCATGTTATCGCCGCCTTCATTTTTTTCTTTTTTTTTAATCGGGGATTGGACTCAGGAGCACTTAACCACTGAGCCACATCCCCAGCCCTTTTTGGTATTTTATACAGTGAGACAGGGTCTCACTGACTTAGCGCCTCATTAAGTTGCTGAGGCTGGCTTTGAACTCACGATCCTCCTGCCTCAGCCTCCCAAGCCACTGGGATTACAGGATTGTGGCATCACACCCAGGCCCCCTTCCTT